AGAGAGATTTTCTTTTCTTTTCTTTTTTTTTTAAGAATTATTTTATTTAACTTTATTTATTTATTTACTTATTTTAATTTGACCATAGAGGAACAGAGCGAGAGAATGGGAAAGTGAGAAAGCGAGCTACCAGGTCCAGGACTTAAACGCAGTCAGCCATGTAGGAGTCCAGTGCCCTTAACCACCTGCCAGCCCCCATTTAGAGAGATTTTCTTTCTTTCTTTTTTAAAAATAAGTATTTTATTTAACTTTATTGATTTTATTTACTTATTTTAATTTGACCAAAGAGGGACAGAGAGAGAGAGAGAGAAAGTGAGAAAGCAAGCCACCAGGTCTGGGACACAAACTGCCATTAGCCATGTGGGAGTCCAGCACCCTTGACTACCATGCCACCTGCTGACCCCTAGAGAGATTTTCTATGGGACAAATATACTCACTAGAGAGACAGAGAGACATAAAGCTAGAAATTTCCTCCTAGGGGGAATGGCCATATGCAATCCCTTCTCCATTCTCATCTCAGGATTTTGGCATGTACAGACACATGCCCATTATGAGTTTAAGTCACTGGGTCCTGGACTCAAACCACGGTTAACTACGTGGGAGTCCAGCGATGTAACTATTACACCATCTGCTGGTCCCAGGATCCACTACTCTTAACTATAAGGCTAAGGTCTGGCCTTTGAACACTATTATCACATAAATAACTGATAGTTTCAGACAATGGGAAATTTTCTGGTTTATAAAGAGTTTTTGAATAAATGTTTATGTTACTTTTTTTTTTTTTGAGAGGTTTTTGCTATAGGGGGGGTGTGCTTGCCAGAAATACAGAGAGAGACAGAGAGATAGAAAGCGAGAAATCACCCCCCAGAGGGGATGGCCACGCCGCAATCCCTTCTCCTCCATTCTCCTCTCGGGATCTTGGGCATACACGCACACGCGCCCGACGTGAGTTTTAAGCCACCGGGTCTGGGACGCGAACCACGGTCGACTATGTGGGAGTCCAGCAACATAGCCGTTATGCTAACTGCTGGTCCACATTATTTTTTTTATTTTATTTTCTAGAGGGTGCAAGCATTAGCCAGAGAGAGATAAAAGTCAGGGGGAGGAAGGAGTGAGAAATCTCCTCCCATGGTGGATGGTAACACCACAATCCCTTCTCTTCCATGTCTCCTTTCCAGATTTGGGGCAAGGACACACACTTACCCAGCTTGTTTTATTTTTTGTTTGTTTTTATTTGTTTGTTTTAATTTTGCTATCGGGTGCATGTGCTCACCAGGGTGAGGGGTGAGAAATCACCCCCTAAGAGGCAGAGAGATGGCCCTACAATTCCTTCTCCTCCATTCTTCCCTCAGAATTTTGAGCACACACACACACATACCCAGTGTGACTTTTAAACTGGGGATTTGGGTCTCGAACCGTGCAGTCGGCTATGTGGGATCCAGCTTCCTTAATTATGACTGGACTTGTTATGTCAGTTTTTTTAAATGAATGTGAGACCAGGCTATGGTACAGTGGTAATACAACTGAATCCACATAGTAAGGACCTGGGTTTGTGTCCCAGGACTTCCCTGAGCACATTAGGTATGCATGTATACACCTGTGACCTGGGCCAGCTGAACCTGGGAGTGGATCACAGTCTGAGGATCCTGTAGAGGGTGCTTGTCTCTCTTCATCTCTTTTTTTTTTTTTCATGGAAAAAAAATGGATTAACTTTTTTTTTTTTTTCTTTTTCATTTTTTTTTTTTTTTTTTGAGAGTTTTTTTTTTTTTTTTTCCGCTATAGGGCGTGTGCACTCGCCAGACAGACAGAGACAGAGAGACAGAAAGCGAGAAATCACCCCCCGGGGGGATGGCCATGCCACAATCCCTTCTCCATTCTCCTCTCGGGATCTTGGGCACACACGCACACGTGTTCAGCGTGAGTTTTAAGCCACCGGGTCCGGGACGTGAACCGCAGTTGACTACGTGGGAGTCCAGTGACATAGCCATTACGCTAACTGCTGGTTCCCTTATTTCTTTATTTTTAAAAATTATTTTAAAGAATTATTTTAGGGGCCAGCAGGTGGTGTGGTGATTACAGGTGTTGGATTCCCACATGGGCGACCTTGTTCAAGCCCTGGACCTGGCAGCTTGCTTTCTCACTTTCTCTCTCTCTCTCCTTCTCTGGTCAAATTATAATAAAAATAAATAAAGTTCAATAAAAAATTTTAAAAAATTATTTAATTGAACTTTATTTATTCATTCATTTATTTTAATTTGACCAGAGAAGGACAGAGTGAGAGAAAGAGAGAAGGAAAGAGAAAGTAAGCCTCCACTTCCAGGACCTTAACTATGGTCAGCTATGTGGGATTCCAGTGCCCTTAACCACCACACCACCCGCTAGCTCCTGGATGAACTTTTTAAACAACGAAGACAAAATTATTTTTTAAACGATTGGAATGAAATGTACCTCAAGGTGGTGAAATTATATCTATTTATTTTGACTGTTTATAACATACACCTTTCAGTGTTTTTTTTTTTTTTTCCCAGTTTATTTTATTTCTTCCATGAGAAAGAGAGACAGTCATCCCCACAGGGTCTTTGCAGCGTGATCTGCTGCCGGTCTCAGCTAGCTTGGGTCATAAGTATGTGCTTGCATGTCTAAAATACTCAGGGAGCTCCTGGGATGAGAATCCAAGACCTTACCCCTGTAAATCCAATGGCATTACTGCTGCTGGGCCTCTTCTCCAGTTTTTTATAATGAGTAAATATTGATAATAAGAAAAAGTAAACCTAAAACTCATATTAAGCAACATGGCATTCTGTTGAGCAACTGCCTGGAGTATCTACTCATGAAAGATAGTTGATAAAAATAATTTAGAGTGGATCATAGTGGTTTTTCTATTAGATTTTTTTTTTGAGAAGTTTTTGCTATAGGGCGTGTGCGCTCATCAGAGAGACAGAGAGACAGAAAGCAAGAAATCACCCCCCAGAGGGGATGGCCACACTGCAATCCATTCTCCTCCATTCTCCTCTTGGGATCTTGGGCATGCACGCACAGGTGCCCCGCCTGAGTTTAAGCCACTGGGTCCAGGAATCGAACTGTGGTTGACTACATGGGAGTCCAGTGACATAGCCATTACACTAACTGCTGGTCCCTCTTTCTATTAGATTTTTGTCATAGGGCATGAGAGCTCACCAGAGAGAAAGAGAGAGAGAGACAGAGAGAAAAGGAAAGTGAGAAATCATCCCCCAGGGGAATGGCCACAGTGCAATCCTTTCTCTATTCTCCTGTTGGGGTTTTGGGCATGCACACACACATGCCCAGAGTGTTTTTAAAGCTATTGGATCTGGTACTCAAAATGCGGAGTTGGTCATGTTGGATCCAGTGCCTTAACTACCATTCTATTTGCTGGCCTCCATAGCGCATCTAAATTAAGCATAAGAATATTATTTTGTTTCTTGGTTTATATATATATATATTTGGTATATTTATTATAGTATTAGTGTTGAACTTTTCTGTTTTACTCCTTATCCTTTTAGTTTGAGGCTAACAATTTACACCAGCTGGTCCTGAAGATTTGCCAAGCACATTTTACCCCAATATCTCCAAGGTTTTCTCAAGATCTTCGATCCTTGATATCCCAGCTCTTTAAAGTATCTCCTCGAGAGCGACCATCTATTAATTCCATTTTGAAAAGGCCCTTTTTAGAGAATCTTATTGCCAAATATTTGACTCCTGAGGTGAGTTTTGAGGTGACTGTTTAGATTTTAGCAGAGATTTTCATTTGCAAGTTCTTGACACGTGTTCGGTTTTAGGTCATTCAGGAAGAATTCAGCCACACACTTGTACACAGAGCAAGATCATCAGCTTCACAATCTACTGGGAAGGTGGTCCAGGGTAAGAACTATGTACCCGTGTAATTAAAAAGTATTTATTGCAACCAGCAGATGGTGTAATGGTTACTTCGCTGGACTCCTACGTAGTTGACAGCAGTTCAAGTCCCGGAGCTGGCAGCTTAATCTCACGCTGGTCACATGTCTGTGTGTGCCCAAGATCCTGAGAGGAGAATGGAGGAGAAGGGATTGTGGCATGGTCATCCCCTCTCACGTTTGGTCTGTCTCTGTCTCTCTCTCTCTGGCAAGCACACATGCCCTATAGCAAAAAATCTCTCTCTTAAAAAAAAAAAAAAAGCATTTATGGGAACCAGCAGTTAGCGTAATGGCTATGTTGCTGGACTCCCACGTAGTTGACCGTGGTTCGCGTCCCAGACCCGGTGGCTTAAAACTCACGCTGGGCGCATGTGCGTGCGTGCCCAAGATCCCAAGAGGAGAATGGAGGAGAAGGGATTGCGGCATGACCATCCCCCCTGGGGGTGATTTCTCGCTTTCTGTCTCTATGTCTCTGTCTATCTGGCGAGCACATGCGCCCTATAGCGAAAACCTCTCTTAAAAAAAAAAAAAGCATTTATTACACATCTTATCCAGTGAATTATAATAAACTGCTGACAAAATTAGTGGAGGAATTCTACCTAATATGGTAGAATGGACATGGACATTTAACAAAGACAGGCAGTCTAAGCTGGAGAAAAATCACCTCGTCAAATGGGAACTTGTGGATCTGTCCAGGAGTTGTCTACAGTATCCAGTTTGTGTGTGACCTGGAGAATTCAGCTCCTTTCTTCTCAGCAGTCAGGAAATTGTCATAAAGTAGAGGCCATACTACTAGAGATAGCTGAAGAGGGTGGATCCTAACTTAACTTCCGGGTAGCGAAAAGGTAGAGTGGGAGAAGGCTCACAGACAGACATGGAGTAATGAGACGAAGCTTATTTTTCTGAAATAAAGAGACTGAACTGGTAATTAGGAACTCTCTTATAAAGGTCCATTGGAGTTGGAGTTAAGATCTTGGAACTAATCATTACCTGTGACGACTGTTACTACCTTATGTCATCCCCTAAGAAAACAGGTAGTATTTTATGGACATGATCAGTAGAGGAAACAGTTTTAGTTGTGGTGTCAGGAATCCACTAAAGTGAAGAAGTGCTTGTGTGTGTGAGAGAGAGAAAGAAAGAGGTAAAAGGAATACATTAAGGACGATGCTATGAAAGTAAAAGCAGCAGGATTTAGCCATAACCGAGTATCTGGGCTCAAAGGAAAAGCAGGAAATCTGTCCAAAGAATCTGTGATGGGCAATGTTACCCACTGTATCGGAGAAACCAACCTCAAGGGAATTTATAAGAGAAAATGAGTGAGCCATTCTGTCATGTTTCATTTGACATAGTTACATATCAGTCTAAATTGAGAACGTTTAAAAAGTAGATAAGCAGAGGCTGAGAGAAAGTACATTGTCCGCATTTCTAAACCAGGAAAGATAAGAGGAAAAGAACACATTTTTGGAGACAAAGACAAGCATTTCAGAAGACCTACTTATGAATTTCTTATATGTGACATGAAAGGTTTGATAACCCAAGCTCTGATGACTACATTTAATTACTTTGACCATTATCCCGTGCATATTGTTTCTGTACATGTTAACATTAATTTCTACTTTAAAAAAAAAGTAGCGCAGTGTATTACTAGAAATATGTAAAGGAACTCTGGAAAAGGTGATTTTCTCCATTCAAAGAAAATGCATAGTAGTTTTTCATTAGTACTTCTCTCACTGTGTGTAAGGTATCTCTGGCTAAAGTAAAGTTACTGTGTTGTGAAATGTTTTTGATCATACGTGTACAAGTGTCAATATTAAAGGTGTACACATTTTTAAAAATTGAAGTTGTTTTATCTTGATTTAAAAAGATTCTAAAATACCGAAAGTGAGATCCCAGGGAAAGTGCCTACCAAGATCAAGGATATCAGTGCCAATGAGAAGGAAAGACGTGTTACATAGAAATGAATGGAGACCACCAACGGGAGCCCAGGAGCCCATGTTCGTAAGTACTGAAGCTGCCCTCTCTCCCATAGTGGAGCGCTAGTGTACTCTGGCAGGCCTCCCTGCACACGTTTATGAGGTACAAGCTGATTAATTTTGAGTCCCCTAGTTTCATAATAAAATCATTCCAATTCTTGATAAACCACATAAAAAATGTATTAAACCATTAAAGTAGTGGTACTTGATTGGACAACTTCCATTTGTTATTTTTTTAGAAAAAGTATTGTTTTTTCTTACAACTATGCATTAGCTTTAGTTATTATCATTATCATCATTATTATTATCACTTTTATGTTTGCTATAGGGCATGTACACTCACCAGAAAGAGAGAGAAGGGAAAGTGAGAAAGCAAGCCACCAGGTCTGGAAATCGAACCATGGCTGACCATGTGGAAGTCCAGCACCTTAACCATCACACCACTGGCTGGCTCAGTTTTAGTCATTCTGTAACTGAAACTCTTCTCATTTCTTTGAATAAATAACGTTTCTCTGTATAGGACGAGTGAATTACGTAGTGATAGAATAAATTCTGTATTCGTATTCTTAATTCTAATATTTTACATACATACATACATATAATACATATATATATAATATTTGAGAAGTTATCTAATAATTGAACTTTCCCTAGGAATCCTTTATGCTTAGTTATTTGAATTTACTTTATCAGGGTTTTTACTCTTTTAGAAAATGCTAGTCAAATGCTTCTGATATATAAATGATCAAATGGCCTTTCTTTTCCTTTCTTTTCTTTTTTAATTTGCCAGAGGAGTGTGTTCTCACAGGAGAGACCGAGAGAAACGGAAAGTGAGAAAGTACCCCGATGGGCATGGTCATACCATAGTCTCTTCACTTCCATTTCTCTCTTTTGGGAATTTGGGGCACTCACATGCACCCAACATGTTTTACAAGTTGCCGGGTCTGGGACTCAAACTGTGTAGCTGGTCAAGTGAGGTTCAGCTGCCTTAACCACCACATCACTGGCTGGCCCAAGAAATACATTTTTTAAAAAGGCTCCTGGTATAATTAGAAGACTATTTAGAAGTATATGTACTAAGTGTTTATATGGTATATATAGACATGCTAGAAAACATGATGATATGTAAATATTTTTAAACTGCTGTTTAAATCATTGCCATTCATTTGGTAAAATGTATTTTAACTTTACTAAAAAATTAAGAAAAGTACATTGTGATTCAGAATAGTCTTTACCAGACCTGTAGGAAAGAAAGGAAAAGAACATGTACTAATGAAAGATTTGAGGGTGAATTCAGTTAGGAGAACTACTGTATTAAGTATTGTTTTTAATCTGTTCTTATCTTTCAGATAAAGATGATAGAAAGGCCCAAACTTGCTGCGGTGTGTGGACGTTATGATTATTATTACGCCCAACTTGACTTGCTGAGGAAGAGAGCTCATGAGCCAAGTTATCAATGTGTTCCTCAAACAGAGAGCGGAACTGAGGATTCTAATCAGGCGGGATGGCATAGTCCACCGCCAGATCTATGGTAAAGTCATCGCCTAACTTCAGCTTTGGTCCTCCGAAAATAGAGCATTCATTATTCTGAAATCCTTCCACATTCTCTTAAAAGATATCCAGAAAGGGGGCCAGCAGGTAGCATAGTAGTTAAGGCACGGGACTCACACGTGGTCAACCACAGTTTGAGTCTCTGTCCCAGTCCCGTTACCCTGGGGAGTGATTTCTCGCTTTCTCTCTGTCTCTGTCTCTCTAGTGAGTGCACATGCCCTATAGCAAAAATCTATCCAAAATAAATAAATAAATACATTAAATATATTGGGTGTGGTTATGGTTTTGTTCATCTCCATAACCCTCATGATCAGCAAAAATTATGCACTCCATTAGTTCCAATTGTAATAGTCACGTAAGACTCAGTTAATGAAGAACATATATTTTATATATGACCTAGGAGCAGGCACAAAACTCATTTCTCCCATTTCTCAGTCACTGGGAAAATATGTCTTTTATTCCCTTTTTTTTTCAATTGCCAGAAGGCACACACATTTGCTACAGAGAGACAAAGAGAGGGAGAGGGAGAAAGCACCCGCTAATGCTTTCTCACGACAGTCCCTTCTCCATTTCTCCATTCTGTCGGGATTTGAGGTGCGCACTCACATGTTGTCCAGCATGTTTTTCAAGCCATTGGGACTGGGACTAAAAATCATTAGCCATGAGGTATCTGGCTCCAGTCACCACAAGGCACAGGGCCGGCCCGTATCTTCTCTTTGTCTAGATATGAAAGCTGTCAAACTATCAGTTACTTAATTTTGTTTGATTTTTATCTCCCCAGTTCTCACATACAATGGTTTCAAGATTTTTCTCTTCTCTGTATCCCAGGATGCCGCTCTGATGACTGGGAACCCCCTCCTCAGTATCCACTCCTGTCTCGTGTTTTTTCTCTGTGGAGCTCTCATTCTGTGCCATGGAATGAAGTAAGAGGAAGTCGTAGTGTTGAAAGAAAGACAGACAGACAGAAACAGACACAGAGATAGAGAAAGAATGTTTTTCGAACAGCCCATGGGTGGCTGAATAGTTTTTCTCTTACAGATATTACCATACACAACAATCAGGTTTTTGAGACAGATGAGTACTACAGTTTAACCCTCATTTGACTCATACAGCTATGTGTCAAACACAGCCCTAATCTCTTCTAATCCTCATGTCGACCTGTGCAAAATAGTACTGTGTTCATTTCACAGATCTGAGATCTAGACACCTTAACTAGCTTGTCATTTCATCATATTTCTGAACAACTGTATGAACTTGACCCTGTAAAGTGCAGACTGCTCATCCTAACTTCCTAATGGAGTTATTTCAGAAACGATCATTCTGTCTTGGAGCTCTAAAAGTTCATTGTATTCTAAGAACTTTTTCACTCTTCATACTCTCATCCTAAATGCAATAGTTTTTATTAAGCAACCAGTAATTATAAAAATTCTTTGCAAGAAATTCTACAAGAAGGAGCCAGCAGGTGACGTAGTAGTTAAGGTGCTCGCCCACTCCAGTTCAAGTCCTGGACCTGGGGGCTTGAAACTCACGCTGGGTGCCTATGAGTGTATGCTCAAAACCCTAAGAGGAGAATGGAGGAGCAGGTATTGCAGTGTGGTTATCCCCCCAGGGGGTGATTTCTTGTTTTCTGTGTCTGTCTCTCCCTGTCTCTTTGGTGAGTGCATGCACCCTTTAGCAAAAACCTCTAAAATAATAATAATAATAATAAAAGAAATTCTGCAAAAAATAAAAAAGATAGATAGACTAGGGACTAGCAGATGGCCTAATGCCTACGTCACTGGACTCCCCCATAGTTGACCACGGTTCGAATCCTGGACCTGGTGGCTTAAACTCATGCTGGGTGCATGTGCGTGCACGCCCAAGATCCCGAGAGTAGAATGGAGGAGAAAAGATTGCAGTGTGGCCATCCCCACCTGAGGAGTGATTTCACACTTTCTGTCTCTCTGTCTCTTGTCTTTCTGGCAAGCACACGTGCCCTATAGCAAAAAACTCTCAAAAAAAAAAATAGGATAGAATGTAGGTATACATGTGAAAATGGTTTGACCAGAATTGTGCTGACAAAATATTTTAAACATTTTGAGAGACAGCTAAAGCATCATTTATTTATTAAGCATTCATGTGCCGGTATGACAAGAAGAGGTAAGAGGATGGAATTCCCACCTGCTCTCAGGGAGCTCAGCGTGCAGTGCAGGAAACACACAAGCCACCACTGATAGATGAGGAGTGACCAGCTGTCGACTGGCTACCTACACGAAGCATGAGAACAAGTGGGCATGGGTTTGTTCTCCTCCCCCCAAAATATTACAGACTATGCGAAAGCTGAACCTTGCCCTGGAGAAACATCATCAAATCAGAATATTCTTCTGTTTAACGCTCTCCTGTATTCTCAGTCATTACTCCTCTCTCTCCTTGTGATTTCAAAGATATTCTTTTCCAATGTAAACATGCTATAACTTTGAACTGTTTCTTGACCTCGGAATTTGAAGCCCAATTCACAGGTTAATCGTGACTCTCATTAGCAAGCTGAACATCCACCTGTCAAACTGGTGCCTATGATTCATTTAAGCTTCTACTCAAGGGAAACTTTATTACTTCCCAAGGCCTTCTGAGTACCTTCAGAGGAAATTTGAAGCTCACCAATATAAGTTGAAAGTGGAAAAGCAATTGGTAAGTAAAATACCAAATATGAGAAGTAATCAGAAATTTTCTAGTAGTTTTTCACAGACATTCATGGATCCTTAAGTCAATGTCCTTTCCACTAGAAGGTCATTACTACCTTCTAACCTTACCCAGTTTTTGTTTTGTTTTTAGGTTTTTGCTGTAGGGTACATGAACTCACCTGGGAGGAGAGAGAGAGAAAGAAAGTAAGAAATCAGTCCCGTCTCCCCAAGGAAAATGGTCATGCTGCAATCCCTTCTCCAATCTCCTCTCCGGATTTTGAGCACACACGCACATGTGCCTAGCATGAATTTCAAGCCACCAGGTCTGGACTTGAACCATGGTCATCCATGTGCTAGTCTTGCATCTTATCTACTGTGCCACCTGCTGGCCCACCTTCCTCAGTTTTTTTTTTTTTTTTTGGAGGGGGGAGGGGGAGAGCTCTTTGCTATAGGGCGCTTGCGCTCGCCAGACAAAGAGACAGAAAGCGAGAAATCACCCCCCAGGGGGGGATGGCCACACGGCAGTCCCTTCTCCTCCATTCTCCTCTCGGGATCTTGGGCATGCACGCACACATGCCCAGTGTGAGTTTAAGCCACCGGGTCCAGGACTCGAACCGCGTTTGACTACGTGGGAGTCCAGAGACATAGCCATTATGCTAACTGCTAGTCCCAACCTTCCTCAGTTTTTAAGAGATAAAAAAGAAGGACAATCTGGGACCAGCAATTAGCGTAATGGCTATGTCGCTGAACTCCCATGTGGCCGACCATGGTTCAAGTCCTGGACCAGGTGGCTTAAACTCATGCCAGGCACGTGGGCGTGTATGCCCCAGATCCCGAGAGGAGAATGGAGGAGAAGGGATTGTGGCATGGCCATCCCCCCTGGAGGGTGATTTCTTGCTTTCTGTCTTTCTCTGTCTCTCTGGCGAGTGCACGTGCCCTGTAGTAAAAACCTCTTAAAAAAAAAAGGACAATCTTGAATTAGAGTCTGGGAAGCCTGGTTACTTCCTTGACTTTATCACTTGTTGTATGACCTTGGGTAGTGAGTGCATGCAACCTCTCTGAGTCTCAGTGTTCTTTTCTATGTATGAAAATGACAGTTTTGGAGTAAATGAGCTTAATGTCCCTTTAAGTGTAGCATATAGCAGATATTTGATCCTATTTTATTAAAGGCACTTCTACACATGTTTGAAAAGTACTTTATTTGAATTAAAGTTAATCTTTAACTTTTAGTACCATGTCAGAATTATGGGGCTAGGAGAGGCTGGATATACATTCTATTCGTATCACTGTTACTTCTAACTGCTCAAAAGCTGTAGTTCTGGGACCAGCAGTTAGCGTAATGGCTATGTCGCTGGACTCCCATGTAGTTGACCATGGTTCAAGTCCCAGACCCAGTGGCTTAAAACTCACGCCGGACACGTGTGTGTGCATGCCCAAGATCCCGAGAGGAGAATGGAGGAGAAGGGATTGCCGCGTGGCCATCCCCCCTGGGGGATGATTTCTCGCTTTCTGTCTCTCTGTCTCTCTTTCTCTCTGTCTGGCGAGTGCACGCACGCTATAGCAAAAAATCTCTCTAAAAAAAAAAATAAGCTGTAGTTCTATTTTTCTAACCTAATCTCATGCTCCAGGGTTGCTAAAGCTTCACAGATCTTTAATTTCACAATTTTGATTTACCAAGTCTGAAAATGGATCTGGATAACTCATATGGTAGTATAAAGTATTGGTCATTTAGAATAAACAACATAAATGGGTAAATTAACTTTTAAAAACTATTTAATGAATGTTTGAAGCTTAAATAAAGAACATTCTATTGAGTCATTGGGAAGTCATGATACTTTTTTGCATAGAAAGACAGAAAAATATGTCATGACTTTCCTGACAACTTGATACTACTTACTATGAAAAAATTCCCAAACATTTTGTTAGGTGCTATAATTCTTCTCTATAGGTAGAAGTCAAGGTCAAATCAGAAGATGTCTCCCAAATGCAAATATGTTTTATAAATTATTTTATTCAATTAAACAGGGTCTTCGTCCATCTTCTGCTGAGCCAAATCGCAACCAGAGACAAGAGCTAAGAAGGAACGGAGAAGAACCTAGATTCCAGGAGCTACAGTTTAGGAAAAACAAAATGAAGGAACAGGTTAACAGTATAGTTCCAGGGCTACCGTTGTGCTCATATCACTGTCTTTTCTGCTGCTGTAGGGCATCACTTCCGTTTCCTACCGTGTACCTGTGAGGGCCCTGCTGCACGAATACTTGCACAAATACACAATATATAAAGTGCCATGCTGGGTGTTGTAGGGAATAGAGTTATGTATTTCACTTTCCCAGAATGCAGCGTGGCTAGGTTTATAAGGCGTTTTTATCTTAGATTGGACGATTGTCCATCACTAACATATTTGGGATTTGTATTAGTTTCCTGGGATTGCTGTACAAAATGCAACCAACTTGGGTGGCTTAAAACCATAAGAATATATTGTCTCACAGTTCTAGAAACTGGAAGTCCAAAATCAAGGCATCAACAGGGCTATACTCCCTCTGAAACCCATAGGAGAATCTTTGCCTCTTCCTAGTTTCTGGTGGTCTGTTAGAAACTTTGGGTTCTTCTTGGCTTGCAGCTGCATAACTCCATTTTCTTCCTTTGTCACATGGCATTCTCCCTGTGTGGCTGTCTTCTTAAAACCACACCAGGAGTATTGAAGCAGGGGCCCACCCTAGTCTAATATGACCTTGCTTTCACTCATTACATCTGCAATGATCTGATTTTCAAATAAGGTCACATTCTGAGCAACTGGGAGTTAGGACTTCAACATATATTTTGGGATGGGGGCTGGGGTGACAAAATTCAATCCAGCATAGGTTATATGAAAGTGAAATTTCTAAAGTTAACTGTACATCATTAACACATTCGGGCTTACATATAAACATGAGATCTATGTTGTACACAGGACAGAAAGTACAACCAAAACCAAGGCAGCTATTAAGGAGCAACAGGCTTTCCCATTCTGATTTTATATTACACATTTTAAGAACGATAGGCTGTCTGGAGATGACGTTTGTCAAATTATTCCCAGACATAATGTTTCTGGATTGGGTTTGCCTTCCAGGAATATTGGAAGCAGCTGGAGGAAATACGCCAGCAGTACCACAATGACATGAAGGAAATTAGACAGAAGATGGGGAGAGGACCAGAGGTAAAGCCATTCTTCTCGAGGAAACATCGTTCTATTGATTCAGAGTTAACTATAATAAATTGAGCAGGTTTTGAAGGTAATGGTCTCCTCATAGGAAGGATAAAGTTCTATTATAGAGATAATCATGCAAATTTCTTTTTTTAATAGGAAAGCTGTCAGACCTGATTGAATATTCACTTTATTCTGGTTTACTAGAGACTGCACCAGATGAGACTATCTGAGATTCTTAGTTAGGGATTGCTATCAATATATTTTAAACATTTTTAAAGCATTATTTATGTAACTTTCTTTCTTTATTTTAATTTGATCAGAGAAGGATAGTAAGAGAGAGAGAGAGTGAGAGAGAATGAGAAATCAAGCTGCCAGGTCTGGGACTTGAAACGTGGTCGGCCATGTGGGAGTCCAGTGCCCTTAACCTCCATGCCACCTGCCGGCCCCGCTATCAATATTGTTAACAATACTTGTTGATTGTCTTCCTCATGAACCAGTCAACAAGTATTAAATGGGCAGCTACCTTACCCCAGAACTTGATTCAATGCAGAAAGTCCAAAATAAAGATAGATTTATATCTATGAAAGGAAGAAAGAGACTAGCATTTATTGAATTCAGCTATCTGTAGGGAAAAGGTTCTAGTCTCTATAAAGTGAAATCTGAGTGCAGTTGAGGTGATTCCTGAAACTCCCTTAACCGTGCCACATTGGAAATTCATCTTTCTGTTTCTTAAGAAGTCTCTAGAATTGGAGCACTTCAGTATTCAGTAGAGCTCCAGATGAAATAGCTCACCTATGTTTTGAGACCTCGTTGTGTAAAAAACACACGGACACTTACACAATCAGGGTACACTCAGTGCCCTGGAATGTACATCCTATAAAAAGCCTGTAGGCCTTGAGAGAAATGTCTCCCATCTCACACCATGGAGCTACATAGGCCTTGAGAAGAAGCACCACACTGCTGAAACTGCTCTCTCTCTCTCTCTCCCCCACCTATCCTCCACTCCAAAGTGCATAGAGAGAATAAATAGAAGTTAAATGAACGGATGGTACGATTCAATTGCATAAGCCAGGCTTGGAGCTAGAACTTCCATGTACTTCATCTCACTGCCCCTCCCCTCCCCCCACCCCTGCCCCATAACTGAGACAACTGAGACGTTGACTAACTCATCCAAAGCCACTTAGATGTTTTAAGACAGCATTTTTTTTTAAGAGATTTTTGCTATAGGGCACGTGCACTCAACAGAAAGACAAAGAGAGACATACAGAAAGTGAGAAATCACCCCCTGGGGGGATGGCTATGCTGCAATCCTTTGTCTTTCATTCTCCTCTTGGGATTTTGAGCATGCATACACATGTCTCCAGCATGAGTTTTAAGTTGCCAGGTCTGGGTCTCAAACCACGGTCTGCTACTTGGGAGTCCAGTGACATAACTATTACACCATCTACTGTGTAATTGTATAAGACAAATCAAATATTTCTGTAAGCCAAATCAAATATTTGTCAAACTCTTAGGCCAGCAGATGGCGTAGTGGTTACATTGCTAGACTCCACATGACAGACTGATTCCAGTCCCAGACTCAGTGGCTTGAAAATCACAATGGGTGCATGTGCATGCCTAAGATAACAGGAGGAGAATGGAGGTGAAAGTATTGCAGCGTGGCCATCCCCTCGGGGAGGTGATTTTTCACTTTCCTTTTCTCTCCCCCTTCCCCGACCACAACTGCACATGCCTAAAGGCAAAAACCTCCTTTCATTAAAATAAATAAATAAATAAATAAATAAACAAGCTAAAACTATGTGACTCTTAAACCTCTATTCTTTCTAGCTTATGCACTTTTACTTGTAGTTGGAAAGACAGATACATGTATGAAACAATAATAGAATAAGACTGAATACAGCTAAGCCATGTAGGTGCTTAGGAGCAAAGATGAAAAGAATGAGCCGGATAAGGGTTCATCTGGAAGAAGAGGTGGGCCCTCAACTGGGTCTGAGCAGAAACGTAGATTTAGGGAGGCTGAGCTAGTGGTAGGTAGTGCCAAAAGAACTGCGTAGAGGTTCTGACAGAGGACCGGTGCTAGGAGAGGTCCTGGGAGGTGATTCTCTCTAGAGCAGAGGTTTGGTTCATGGTGGGTAGCTTTATGCTATCATCAGTCTTGTATGAAAGTTCCTCAGCCTGTGAGGTGGGGGACCCCAAGTGGGAGTGATGGTGGATTTGGAAAAAACAGACGGACACACAAGTAGAAAAAATGCTGGTACCAGGTGGAGCGAGTGTCATTGATGGAGATCGCCGTGGCACTGAGCTGTTTCCAGGTTTATTCTTTTATAGGGCAAAGGGGGAGGGAGACGTGGAAGGTAAAGCCAGGTGTTTGCTATTATCGACTGCAGCTGTGGTGCATCTTGTGTCTCACGCTTCTGAACAAGCCTCCCTTGGCCTTCTCCAGTTGGAGCACAGCTTCCTTTAATTTATACTGCCTTGCAGTGCAAAATAAAAGCAAAGCAGATCATATCCTTGCTAGAGCTTTCACTTGCCCTGCAGAGTCAGCATAAGGATCATATCTCCACTTGTCTTTAAAGGTCACTATTGTGGAAATCAGCAGTTAGTGTAATGGCTATGTTGCTGAACTCCCATGTAGTCGACCGCGCTTTGAGTCCCAGACCCAGTGGCTTAAACTCACGGTGGGCCATGTGCGTGCATGCCCAAGATCCCCAGAGGAGAAAGGAGGAGAAGGGATTGCAGCATGGCCATCCCTACTGGAGGGGGAGGGGTGATTTCTCGCTTTCTGTTTTTCTGGCAAGTGCTCGTGCCCTATAAAAACACCTCTGTTTTTATAAAAACCTCACTATTGTGTGGTTCAGATCTGGCTGCACCCTATGTGAAGGGACTTCAAAAGTTCAGGGCAAGGTCCACCAGGCGGCATGGTGGTTAAGACACTGGGCTCCCACATGTCTGACCACGTTTTGAGTCTGGGATCCAGTGGCTTGAAAATCACTGTGTCTTGAACAATCATGCTGGACGCTTGTATGTGCCTAGCCAAAGTCCAGAGAGGAAAGAAGAGGTAAAGGGATTGTAGTGTGGCCATTCTCTGTGTGGGTGATTTCTCACTTTCCCCCTCTCTGTCTCTCTCTGGAGAGCATACTCACTCTATGGCAAAAACCTAAAAAAAAAAAAAAAAAAGGTTCAGGGAAAATGGAATTAAAGTACAAGTTTATTTTGGTGCAGTAATAATAATTATAATAATAATAATAAAATCCATGCATAGTTGTCTCATAATAAGCATTTTCCATAAATATTCTGAAAACCCTTCATATTTAAAGCCAGTGTGTGATGGAAACCCTGAGATGGCTGGCAGATATCTCTGGAGAGGGTATGAATGAAGTGTTTGGGCTAGGCTGGGGCAGCCATAGGGAGGAGGCACCATAAAGGAGGCTTTCTCCAGCCATTCCCAGCAACTGTCTGCCCCTCTGCCAGTACGAGGCAAACATTTCCTCACCAGACCCTGACTGGGGTACATAAAGTAGACTTCAGAACTCACATAGAACCGTCTTATTTACTGTGAATAATTTGTGTTAAAGGAGAACTCAAAAGTAAGTCAAAAAACCTACTTGGTGAAGAAGAGTAACCTGCCCATCCACCAAGATGCACCTGAGGAAGAAGCACCTGTGCAGGTAGCAATGGCTATTATTAGACGTGAATGCGCTTCCCAGGGAGTGGTTCTCACCTCTCGTTGCACCACAGAATCAGTTGGGGAACTATTAAAAAACTCAAATGTCCTTGCATCTTGTTTGCAGAAACTTACTCGGTGAATTGAGAATGGCTGTTTTTAAGTGTGGCAGTCCCCCACCTTCCTGGCACCAGGGATTAGCCTCAAGGAAGACTATCCTTCCACAGATGGCCAGAGAGGGAGGTTGGTCCCAGGATGACCCAAGTGCACCACATCCACCGCGCGCCCCATTTCCACCACTACCACATTGCAATATACAATGAAACATCACACAATAGGGGTCACATTCCCGAGAGAATCCAATACCACTGCTGATCTGATAGGGCCAAGCCCAGGAGGCAGTGCGAGCCATGCAGAGGAGCTACAAACACAGATGCAGCCTTGATGGCTCACTTGCCCACTGCCCACCACCCCATCCCACCCCCGCTGCATGGCCCCTGAACCAGCAGTGGTCCACGGTCCCAGAGTGGAGGAGAAGGGCCATTCTCCCTTGTGTGTGTGTGTGTGTGTGTGTGTAGGGGGGGTGTTCTCACTTTCCCTTCCTCCCTCTCTTTCTCTGTTTCTGGTGAGTGTGCATGCCCTATAGCAAACTAAAAATAATAATAGTGATAGTAGTGTTTTAAAACTTTAAAGAAGTGACATATTGCTTCGTTTTCCTTAAACGATGACTACAACCACTATCCATCCCAGGGATAGACAATTCAACTTCTACAGAACTGCTATAGAACTCTCCAGCATCATGTCATGTGAAACCTAGTGGTATCTTAAAAACTGATGACTCTGCAGCCTGGGGGCTGAGATCTTTGTCAAGGCAGGAACTCTAGTCTGTCCAGTCTCTCGCCACCACGTCAGTGTTCTGCCCAAGAACAGGACTGGAGTCTCTCCTCCCTTTTAAAAGCTAGTTTTATTGAGGCATAACTATAGTTAATTGCATATATTGAAGTGCATACTTTATAAGATTTCACTTGTGCAACTATGAATCCATCACAATTAATTTAGTGAACATATCTGTCATCTCCAAATGTTTATGCTTTTGTCAGATTCTCTCTTCTATTTCTCCTTGCCTCTTCTACTACTTCATCCTCAAATCTGCTTTCTGTTACTCTAGATCAGGCTGCTTTTTCTAGATTAGTCTGCATTGTATAAATGCAGCCATACTCTTCCACACTCTCTCTTTTATTTTTCATTTAGCATAATAATTTTGAGATTTATCCAGGTGAGATGTACACTTATTAAGAGTTCATCCTTGGGACCAGCAGTTAGTGTAATGGCTATGTCGCTGGACTCCCACGTAGTCGACCACGGTTCGAGTCCTGGACCTGGTGGCTTAAACTCATGCCGGGCACGTGTGCGTGCTTGCCCAGGATCCCCAAAGAAGAATGGAGGAGAAGGGATTGTGGCGTGGCCATCCCCCCAGGGCGTGATTTCTCGCTTTCTAGCTCTTTGTCTCTCTCTGTCTTTCTGGTGAGTGCACACGCCCTATAGCAAAAACAAACAAACAAACAAAACAAAAGCAAAAATAAATAAATAAATAAATAAATAAATAAATAAATAAATAAATAACCTCTCCAGAAAAAAAAAAAGAGTTCATCCTTTTTATTGCTGAGTATGTCCCATTATGTGAATAGATTAAAAAATTGTTTCCCATTTACCGATAGATGGATATTTGAGTTGTTTCTAGCTTTTGGCTATAACAGATAAAGCTGCTATGAACATTCATATACAAATCTTTGTGTGGACATGTGCTTCTTTTCTTTCATTTGGGTGAATATGTTGAATTGGAACGATGGATAGTACCTTGTACAGTAGGTATATGTATCACTTTCTTTGTCTTTTTAAAAAAAGAATTATTTCTTTAATTTTATTTATCATTATTTTAAAAATTTTCTATAGGGCATTTGCACTCACAGAAAGAGACAGAGACAGAGACAGGGAGAAAGAGAGGGAGAGTAAGAGTGAGAAAGTAAGCTTCCTGGTCTGGGTCTTAAACCATAGTCGGCCATGTGGGAGTCTAGTACCTTAACCACCATGCCACCTGATGGCCCTATATTTCACTTTCTAAGAAACTGTCAATTTTTTTTTCCAAAGTGGGTTATGCTGTTACATCCCCACCAGTGTATGTGAGCGCTTTCTTTCTTTGTGTCATTCTTTTCTGTTTAGGAGTCTATCCTTCAACCTCTAGCAGCCTTAATAATCCCACATTCTCAGCTATGTCTTATCAACTCAGGGAGCCTGTCAGACTCAGCTTGGGTTCCACCTCTGCACCATGGCCTGTACATTCTCTTAAAACTGTCGTGTAGAGCTGTGGTAGGGCTTGTCTCAAGGACAACTGGTTCTCAAGGACAACTGTCATTTATTGCTGGTGTCTAATGTATTAAAAAACGATAGTTTCCATGTTTAATCTGGTTCTTTGTTTTAGGTAGGGAAATAAATCTAGTTCCTGATACTCTCTTTTGACTAGAAGTAGAAGTTTGTAGTACTCACTTGTTATGGTGGGGAACATCAAGACTTCCATTTTGAACATGTTGAGTTAGTGAAGATTTGAGACGTACCATACCTACTCTGGGAACTTTGCCCTGCTGTTCCTATTGCATGAAAAGGCTTTACCCAGTCCTTCATATTGCCAAGATCCAATATCATTCCAGGCTTAAATTAATTGCCACATGAGCTTTTTTTGTGTTCCATTCACTCCATACTCATTTTCCATTCCATTATCCTATTATATTTCCCATATAAGACGTACCTTAACCACCATGCCACCTGATGGCCCTATATTTCACTTTCTAAGAAACTGTCAATTTTTTTTTCCAAAGTGGGTTATGCTGTTACATCCCCACCAGTGTATGTGAGCGCTTTCTTTCTTTGTGTCATTCTTTTCTGTTTAGGAGTCTATCCTTCAACCTCTAGCAGCCTTAATAATCCCACATTCTCAGCTATGTCTTATCAACTCAGGGAGCCTGTCAGACTCAGCTTGGGTTCCACCTCTGCACCATGGCCTGTACATTCTCTTAAAACTGTCGTGTAGAGCTGTGGTAGGGCTTGTCTCAAGGACAACTGGTTCTCAAGGACAACTGTCATTTATTGCTGGTGTCTAATGTATTAAAAAACGATAGTTTCCATGTTTAATCTGGTTCTTTGTTTTAGGTAGGGAAATAAATCTAGTTCCTGATACTCTCTTTTGACTAGAAGTAGAAGTTTGTAGTACTCACTTGTTATGGTGGGGAACATCAAGACTTCCATTTTGAACATGTTGAGTTAGTGAAGATTTGAGACGTACCATACCTACTCTGGGAACTTTGCCCTGCTGTTCCTATTGCATGAAAAGGCTTTACCCAGTCCTTCATATTGCCAAGATCCAATATCATTCCAGGCTTAAATTAATTGCCACATGAGCTTTTTTTGTGTTCCATTCACTCCATACTCATTTTCCATTCCATTATCCTATTATATTTCCCATATAAGACGTAAAACTTTCCAAAGTTGTGTCATTAATTTTTTAATTAATTAATTATCCTGCTCCAATAAAATGTAAGCTCCATGTCAGCAGGGGCCTCTTCTGTCACTTTCATCGTGTAGGTGTCCTGCCTAAAGGGGGTGCTCAAAATGAATTTGCGGAATGAATATGATGATGTTAAGTAGGCAATTGGATATGTGAGTCTGAAGCTCAGAGGAGGGGAAAGGTGAAACCTGAAGATTCATTTTAAGAGCCATTGCATAGGCCCAGCTTCAGTGGCCCAGGTAGTAGCTGTACTGCTCTGCGGTGAGGGGAACCATGTGGGTTCACATCCCTAGTCAACGTGAAACATGCTGGGCATACGTAAGTGCCCAGGTCCTAACTGCAAGAGAGGGGATTGCAGCATATGAGACCCTGTCAAGGGCACCTCTCTCTTGCTCCCTCTCTGCCACACATTCTTTTTTTCTCTCATGAAATAAGTCTTATTAAAAAGGAAAAGAAAAGAAAAGAAAGACCATTGCAAAAAATATAGCATTTAAATTTGTAGGAATTAATTTGATTCCTTATATTAAGAGAGAAGCAGAGGGCCGAGGACAGAACCCTGAGAACCCTCTCAGCTGCTCCTTGGAAATTCTTGTCATGCTCTTCTACAGCTTTCTTTACCTCCCGATACTGCCTGTCAATTTTTAGAGCCCTCTCTTTCTTTTATTCTATCATGAGTTGTACACTTGTTTTATTTTCCTGGTTGAGATCATAGTCTCTTAAGGAATGATCCTGTGCCCAGAATTACATTCTTCCACAGAATCGGGTTGGGTTGGATTGGACTGGGGTGATAATCATTTTCGCATGATATAACTTACCCATTGAAACACTGGAGTTCATTGAACTACTGTTTCAAGTTAGTTAATATTATCCCCGAGCTTTTAGTGAATTATTGTTAACCTTCCTTTACAGAAGCATGCCTTTATTCTCACATAAATCATCAGATTCAATTCAGAAATCAAATCATGTGAACAGTGTTGTGATTTTGGGGGTTGTGAAAGGATAACAGTCTGGTCGATGTTAAATGATAGAATTGCACAATTTTTCCCCCTGAACTTTCAGGACATTGAAAGGGACTTGAAAAAAATGAACCTTCATAACATAACAGAAAATAAAATTCCAGACCAGAAATATAAGGTAATAAGCATTTTTGTCTTTCGGTTTCATATTAAAAAGCTAGCCTGGGGGCCTACACCTTGCAGCCTGGGTTGCCTATATGATTCCCCCCTGTACTATTTTATGGACTTTCCCTCCTCTGTAATATTAGACTAATGGTTTTAAGTATCCTTAATGTCAAATAAAGTTGACCTAGGGACAGGTAATTTAAGACTTTTATTGAATTGCAAGACTGATATATTTTTTCTTGCTTCTAGAGAGGAGTAAAGTTTGAAATCAATTTAGGCAAATGTATTTCTGATGAAGATACCCTCCATGAGGAAGAGGTATGCCATGAATATACACTTCCATTAGTAGGTGTGAGAAAGAAAGTGCATCTTAATAGCACGTTCCATGAAATTGCTCCACAAGCTGTAGGGAGAATTTCCTTAAATATTCTGAGAATGGTCTCTGGTGTTCAAATGAATCCTCCAAATGCTTTTTATCTTCCCGTTCTTTACTATTATTATTATTCTTGAATTTTTAAAAAAAATTTTTCTATAGGGTGCATGCTCTCACCAGAAAGGGAGAGAGAGAAGGAAAGTGAGAAGGTATCCCCCAGGGAGGATGGCTATGCAGCAGTCCCTTCTCTTCCATTCTGCTCTCAGGATTTTGGGTATACATTGCATACACACCATGTTTTTCAAGCTGTTAGGTCCAGGATTTGAACCTCATAGTCAGCCATGTGGGATCCAACTACCTTAGTCTCCAGGCCATCTGCTGGCCCCCAAATTACTAATTTTTTTTTTATTAACTGTACCCATTCTTTTTTTTTTTTACATTGTGAGATAAGCTTTAATTTATATTAGTAGACTTTTTCAACTTCCAGAAATTCTAGCTAATTATAAATGCTTTTTCTTTCTTTCTTTCTTTTTCTTTTCTTTTTTTTTTTTTTTTTGAGAGGTTTTTGCTATAGGGCACGTGTGCTCACCAGAAAGACAGAGAGATAGAAAGTGAGAAATCACCCTCCATTCTTCTCTTGCGATCTTGGGCATGCATGCACATGTGCCTGGCATGAATTTAAGCCTCCAGGTCCGGGACTCGAACCACAGTCAACTATGTGGGAGTCCAGCGACATAACCATTACACCAATTGCTGGTCCTATGTTCTTTATTAGCTTAAAACTTTTCATTATGTTATCTTGCAATCTGGGTTTTTTTAAATAATTATTTTTATTTTAACTTCGTTATTATTTTTCAATTTGATGAGAGAGAGAGAGAAAGTGACAAAGCAGGCCACCAGATCCAGGACTTGAACTGTGGTCAGCCACGTGGAAGTCCAGCACCTTTAACCACCACACCACCTGCTGGCCCCAATGATCTGTTTTTGTTTTTGTTTTGTTTTTTTGAGATTTGTTTTTGCTATAGGGCATATGTGCTTACCAAAAAGACTGAGAGAGACAGAGAGATAGAAAGTGAGAAGTCACCCCCCCCATTCTCCTCTCAGGATCTTGGGGACACACGCACATGCACCCAGTGTGAGTTTAAGCCACTGGGTTCAGGATTCGAACTGCGGTTGACTATATGGGAGTCCAGCGACATAGCTATTATGCCAACTGCTGGTCCCATTATCTGCTTTTTTTTAAACAAAAATAATTTTATGTAACTTTTGACCAGAGTGGGACAGAGTGAGAGAGAGAGAGAGAGAGAGAGGGAAAGTGAGAAAGCAAGCCACCAGGTCTGAAACTCGAACCATAGTTGGCCATGTGGGAATCCAGTGCCCTTAACTACACCATCTCACCATCTGCTGGCACCTTTTTTTTTGGGGGGGGGGGTTGCCATAGTGCTGGAGTGCATACACCTATCACAGAGAACAGAGAGCCAGAGAGAGGGAAAGTGAGAAATTGCCCCTGCTGGAGGAATGGCTGTGCTACAGTCCCTTCTCTTCCATTCTCCTCTTGGGATTTTGGGCACACAAGCACACACACCTGGCATGATTTTTAAGCACTGGTTCTGGGACTCGAATGCCAGTTAGCCATGTGGGAGTCCAGAGTCTTAACCCTGATGACTCTTCATGTGTTTTTATTAGTATTTTGCTACTTAAAGATCTCTTTAGAGGGGCTGCCTGTAGCCAAGTGGTTAAGGGACCCAGATCTTACGTGGCCAACAGATTCTTGAATCTCAGCTCCAGTGGCTTGAACATGCCATGTCCGTTTGCACGGGTGCCCAAAGTCCAAACTCCTGTTGGGAGAAGTGGAGGAGAAGGGGCCTTACTACACTCCATTTTGGAGTGCTCTCTTCCTCTCTCTGCCTCTCTGGTGAGTATACCCACCTTCTGACAATTAAAAATAAAGGGAAAAACTATTTTGTTCGAGTAGTGTCAGTTAGTGCTCACCTCTTTCCAGAGGCGTGGAATTAGTCGGAGCAGAGCAGACCTGGGGATCTGTTTCGGGTTGGCATCTACGGAGTGATATGTCCATTGAGCTTCTGGGAAGAGAGGCGCTGAAATTGGCCTGCTCAGAAAAAAGAATGGAGTCCAAGTTTTAACTTATTAGTGTGTTTATCCTTTCTTATTTCATGCTTTGATAGGCTTGAAACAGAAGTGATCATTTTAGTATTGATGATAGAGTGCTGGAGCAGTCTCAGTGCCCTGGTTAAGAATGTTGTATGTGGAGGGAACCAGCAGTTAGCGTAATGGCTATGTCGCTGGACTCCTACGTAGTCGACCGCGGTTCGCGTCCCGGACCTGGTGGCTTAAAACTCACGCTGGGCGCGTGTGCGTGCATGCCCAAGATCCTGAGAGGAGAATGGAGGAGAAGGGATTGTGGCATGACCATCTCCCCTGGGGGGTGATTTCTTGCTTTCTGTCTGTATATTTCTCTCTGTCTGTCTGGCGAGCACACGCACCCTATAGCAAAAAAAAACCTCTCCAAAAAAAAAAAAAAACACTCCCCAAAAAAAAAAAAAAAAAAAAAAAAAGAATGTTGTATGTGGAAACCAGAGGATGGCATAATAGTTATGTCACTGAACTCCAACATAGTCGACTGTGGCTCAAGTCCCAGGCCCAGCATCTTAAAACTCATGCCAGGCACATGTATGTGTATGCCCAAAATCCCAAGAGGAGATTGGAGGAGAAGGTATTGTGGTGTGGCCATCCTCCCTAGGGGATGATTTCTCACTTTCTGTCTCTGTCTCTCTTTGGTGAGCATATGTGCCCTATAGCAAAAATCTCTCTCTCTCAAAAAAGAAGGTTGTATATGGACCAGCAGCTGGTGTAGTGGCTATGGTGCTGGACTCCCACATGGCCAACCACAGTTTGAGTCCCAGACTTGGTGGCTTGAAACTCATGCTGGGTATGTGTATGAGAGTTCTGAATAGAATTTAAGCATAAAAATATTAAAAGCAGAAAGTTGGATATAGTTAAGTTGTCCTATGTCCAGGCTTGTCACTATTGACAAGGAGAGTAAGTTAAAATGTTCCCGTTTCAGGACCAGCAGATGGTACAATTGTTACGTCACTGGACTCCCATTTAGTTGACCATGGTTCACGCCCTGGACCCGGTGGCTTAAAACTCACGCCGGGCGCGTGTGCGTGTGTGCCCAAGATCCTGAGAGGAGAATGAAGGAGAAGGGATTGTGGCATAGCACCCCTTTGAGGGGTGATTTCTGGCTTTCTGTCTCTCTGTTTCTCTGGAAAGCACACATACTCTATAGCAAAATCTCTCTTAATAAAAGGAAAACATTTCTGTTTTTAAAACTCTGTTTCACTTAACAAACATATATTGAATACTTGCCACATATCTTGCTAACTAGAATTATTGAGTATATACCATAAACTTTTAAAAAAAAATATATGCCTTGGTGGGACCAAAAGTGGCGTGGTGGTTAAGGCATTGGACACTCCCACATGGCTGACCATGGTTTGAGTCCTGGACCTGGTGGCTTACTTTCTCACTTTTCCTTTCTCTCTCTGTCTCTCCCTGGTCAAATTAAAATAAATGAATGAATAAATAAAAAATTAAATAAAATAATTATTTAAAAAATGTATATATACACGCCTTGGAGCCAGTCGGTGTCATGGTGGTTAAGGCACTGGATTCCCATATGGTCAGCCATGGTTCTAGTTCCAGACCTGGTGGCTTGCTTTCTCACTTTCCATCTCTCTCTGGTAAAATAATAATAACAATTAATAAAACTAAGTAATTATTTGAAAAAATACGTATGCCTTATTTCTCATGAAATGCCGTGGAATTGCTTTAGGTAACAGATATACTAAACGAAACTTTGACCTTTGAGGATGGCATGAAATTTGAGGAATATAAATGTATAAAGGAGCATGAAGATTATACAGATAAAGCATTTGAAAAGCTCTGTTGCCCAGAAGCAGGTACGTGTTTCTTGAAAGCTGCAGATGAAAAGGAATGTCATAGGCAGTCCAATGCGAGCTCTCTCCTCATTCATGTCCCAGCTTCTCCTCTGCCACAGTGCCTGTACTCCCTGACACTCAGTTGTACTCTCTTGTTCCACACTTTGGGCAGGTTCATCAGCTCCCAGGAGCTCCACACTTAAACAGCCTTTCTCATTACCCACTGGAAAACCCCACAGAGAAGTACCACCAACATCTCAAACTTGGCATTTGTATATCAATCTCTTCTTTTTTTTTTATAATTCTTTTTTTGGGGGGAGAGGTTTCTGCTATAGGGCATGTGCACTCACCAGACAGACAGAGACAGAGAGACAGAAAGTGAGAAATCACCCCCCAGGGGGGATGGCCATGCCATAATCCCTTTTCCTCCGTTCTCCTCTCGGGATCTTGGGCATGCATGCACATGCACCCGGCGTGAGTTTTAAGCCACCGGGTCTGGGACGCAAACTGTGGTCAACTACATAGAAGTCCAGTGATGTAGCCATTACTCTAACTGCTGGTCCCTCTATATCAATCTCTTCTGAGTTGTTCTGCCCCTATACCCCCCATGACTCTATTCTAGTCAACACCATCACCAGCATGACAGTTTCTGCTGCACACCCAGGGCTGTTTCCACTCAGAGGTGTCTCTGGAGTCTTCTCTTTCAGACCCTCTGCCACCAGTTTAGGGCCATGTCATCCCTCAGCAGTATGGGATAGTGGCACATGCATGGGCCCTGGAGACGGAGGGGTCTTTGAATCCCAGCTGGTGCCGCCACTTTCTAACCATCGTCCTTGCTTTCACAAGTTACTTCAATGCTCTGAATCTGTCTGCTCAAGAACAGAGGGTAATAGTAGCCACACAAGGTTATTGTGAGCGCTAGATAAAGATTTGAGATATAAAGTTCTTGGTACTTGAAAAAGTTTGTGGAAAAATAGAATTAAAATTGGGTTTATTGGGGCCGGCAGGTGGCGTGGTGATTAAGACGCTGGACTCCAACATGGATGACCATGGCTCAAGTCCTGGACCTGGCAGCTTACTTTCTTACTTTCCTTCTCTGTGTGTGTGTCTCTTTGGTCAAATTAGTTAATTAATTAATTAATTTTTAAAGATTGGGTTTATCTGGGTACAAAAAATTTTTGAAATCTATGCATTTTTTTTCATAATATGTATTTTCCATGAATGTTATGAAGACCACTGGTATTAGGGGTTTAATAAATGCAATTCCCCCAATTTTCCTTTTATATTACCTTTATTTTTGTATGTCCTTTTTTTCTCTAGTATTTTCCCTTCATTCTCTAAATGATTGCTAAACTTATCTTGTCATCTTTCCACCCTGCTCAGTTTTTGTTTCGGTTTTGTTTTTGCTAATTCCTACAGGATACAGCTCCTTCCACGCTACATTACATTTAGTGCCATGTGGCCTAATCCTGGGGTGACCCTCCTTTCCTACCTTGGCACCCACTTCTTTCTACCCATGATGGGATCCATACAGTCTGCTGGAGCCCCACCTTCACTTATAGCCATGCAAGCATTGACATATCTGAAATGGTTCCATGCCCTCTTTCTAGAATTATACCATTTGCCTCATTTTCATCCAGAGAAATCTTTATTCAATTCAGCAGGCATCTTACAAAGCATCTTCTTTGTGCCACAGACTGTACTAGAAGGTAGGGAGCTCAAAGATGAATGAAATCTGGGACCTGCCTTCAATATTAGAAGTGTCATAAGCAAAGGAAAGGAGGTGCAAAGCATGTGTTCTGAGCCTGAAGTGCTAGTCATGTTGCAGAGCAGCTGGCTAAAGAGTCAGGGAGGTCCCCACACCTGAAGGACTGGGTGTGCCATGGAGCTTGGGCTTTTCCTGTGGTGATGACTTTCAGTCAAAGTGAATGAAATCCTATTTATGATTGAGAAGGGTCATGCTGGCTGCAGAGTGAAGGATGTTGTGGATGGGCAAACTGAAGAGTGGAGAGTAGTCTAAGTGAGAAACGCCGGGCATGCAAGTCAGAGCAGTGCTGAGAGAATAGATATTCCTAGTTCTCTAATTCAGCTGATGAAGCTGTCACCAGCCAAGTGTACATCATGTGGAGGGAGGTCAGTAGAGATCATGTAATGATCTAAATCTGGAACATGTTAAGGTTTATTTGGAACGGGTTACGGTTTAGGTCTTTATAAGCATTAGTAAGCTGTTTAGATGGGACTAGGTTGGTAGATTGGAGAATCTCAGAGATTCTTAACAGACAAAAATTTTTATGGGACCAGCAGGTGGTGTGGTGGTTAAGGGCGCTGGACACTCCCACATGGTCAACCACGGTTCAAGTCCTGGACCTGGTGGCTTGCTTTCTCACTTTGCCTCTCTCTTTTTCTCTCTGTGTCTCTCTCTGGTCAAACTGAAATAAATGAATGAATAAATAAAACTTAATAAAATACTTCTTAAAAAAAGTTTTTTTAGAAAAGAGCAGTGACGTGTATTTACCCTTCCAAATAACTGTACTGAAATACGTTATATAAATTATAGCCATAGCAACAAGATAATACTAGCACCAGAGGAGATAAAGCAATGAGAAGAGTGTGGAAACAAACCCCAGTATGTACTATGATAGGGTACATGCTAAAAGTGACATCATAGGTCATTGAGGAAAGAGGATTATTCAGATAAATGCCCTCAGCCAACTGGTTAACAATTTGGGAACATTTGTGAGATCGGGCTCTATATAATAAGATACAACAAAACATATTTCAGAAGAACCCCATACAATTTATATGATAAAAAATTGAAGTAATAGAGGGACCGGCAGATGGCATAATGGTTACATCACTGAACTCTCATGTAGTTGACTGTGGTTTGAGTCCTGGACCTGGAGGCTTAAACCTCATGCTGGGCTAATGTGTGTGCATGCCCAAGATTCCAGAAGGAGAACGGAGAAGAAGGGATTGCAGCATGTCATTTCCCTGGGGGGCGGGGATGATTTCTCACTTTATGTCTTCTCTTTCTGTCTTTCCAACAAGCGCATACACCCCATAGCAAAAAATCTTTCTACAAAAAAAAAAAAAAAGTTATAGATTAGAAAATGAAATAAAAGACCAGCAGATAGCGTAATGGCTACATTGTTGGACTCCCATATAGTCGATTATAGTTCAAGTCCCGGACCCAGTAGCTTAAACTCACACCAGGCACATGTGCATGTGTGCCTGTTGGACCCGCCGCCAGCAACAGTTCCTGAGTTGGGGGGTGAGAATTAAAGAAAGACAAGAAGCAAGAAGACAGGATAGAAATGGGAGGACTGCCAGTCAATACTGGTCAGCCCTGAATGTACTTTATTGCTAGTATTTATACACACTCCAGAGACTTCTGTGATGTAAGGTTTTAAGTCCTTACTGAATTTATCAGGTTGTTATAACAATACTTTGGAACATTCAGTTCAAAACAATCCCAAGACATTCTGCTCATAACAATCCAGCCACTCAAGGCCATGTTCGGATAAAGACCCTGGTCTTATTCTGGTGGTCACATCCTGCACATTCCTCACATCTCCCTTTTGGCTCTCCACATCTCCCCCTTTTTTTGTTTATTAAATGATCCACCACTTCTGATGGGCAGTAGGCTGTACCTGTCTTGGGTTGTCCTTGGTGACATTTTCTCTTACCGGTCATTGGGTAATGCATATTTGTATGCACCCCCTGTCTTAGGTTGAGAAACATCCCAAGGATCTTAACCGCCACTGACTACCAGCTTCTGCATCTAATGCCTTGGCTTGAAGTTTTAACTGATGAATTTCGGAGTGAACTCCAAGAAAGGAGCGCCCGAGTATTCGCATAAGGCAGGGGGCACAACACGGCAACACAAGACCCATACCTGCTGCCATAACGGCAGGCATTAACCACTGCCACCAAGAGGTCCAGTGTGGTAGGAGACCATACAGTTGTTGCAGCAATTTATTTGCCTCCTGTGTTGCATTAAAGGGAGAGGGACATGCCTTCTCTATCTCTAAGCTCTCTCGATGGAGTGTAAGAATATCTATTGCTTCATTGGCCCCGCACCAGACACCTTATAAATATTTTTTAACCTTTTCCCAATCATGTTGGCTTTCATGATAGATTTTAGGGGTGACACAAATCCATTGATACAACACGTGACATCTGACAGAAGAGCGCACATGCAACCCATCGACCCGGTTCCCAGATGTATGACAGTATCATAAAGGGCATCCAATTTGTGTTGTTTTTTTTTCATCAATAGTTTCTTGATGTGTAAAGCTATGGAAAGATTTTTGTTACATTATCCATAAAACCAGCTGTTTGTACTGTGTTTTTTTAACTTTTAAGTTTTAAGCATACCCATTTTTTAAAGATCCTGATAGCTGACTATTTACTAGAGAGTTCCTTCCCAGCAAACTGAAAGAATTAAATCAATGCCAGTGCTCTCAGCTGTAGCGTGAATGGAATCATAAGTTTCTGGACCAGTTGTTTGTTTGGAGCTCACTTCTGTTACTGGATTGGATTGGGATAAGAGTGAGGCCTCCTTGGGTCTATTTAGGCTGTGTTTTAGCACTGAATAGTGTGGCCCATTGTTTTATGGCCACCTCAGATACCATCTGTTATATATACATCTTTTCATGAAATCTTTCTAATTCTTTACAATTTCCTCAGACCCTCTCCAACATAACTCAAACCTTTTGCAACATGCTTTATTCCTTGATTATTTGTCCCCTTTTACCTTTTTCATTCTGGAAATAATTCAGCCATCTTACTCGAGGACAAAAATTTTATCATACAAAATTCTTTCAATATTAAAATGTTCTCTTTCTTTTTAACATTTTCCACCACAAACACATCTTTGTACCTATATCTTTCTTTCCATAATAAGGTCCGATTGTCCAGGCAACTTTCTTTGGCACAAGGGGGAAGATACTGGGGTTGTGTGGCATTAACAGAGTTGTTTTCTGGTCGAGAAGCCATCATATGAACCATCTGATCTCTTCTGGAAATAGTCCTCCCAGTAGATTTCTGCTTCAATGAGTGTCACCATCTTCAGGCAGATCCATAGGCACAACATCCTCCTGGTCTTTCTGGGTGTCCATAAACCATACCAAGCATTCTGGAAGCCAGCAAGCTTCATCATTGTCCTGCGAAAAAACACAAACGTCTCCTTGACCCCATATCAACACAGGGTCAGGCCCATTCCATGATCTCATTAAGGGATCTTTCCAAAGGACTGTGGTATAATGAGATTGTGTTTTGGAATGCCCAAATCATCCAGCTGCACTGGATCCTTGTTTGTCCACATTTAAAAATTTAAGTACAAATAGAGCATGTTTTAAATAATTATGTGGTGTCTGGGGATGAGAATGTTCAGCTTGTTGTAAATGTGTAAAGGTTTTGAGATGGGTATCAACATCGGCCAGGGGATTATCTGGAATTGTGGTAACTCCAGTGCAATAGGGATGGATGGCTTTTCCTGCCTGAGAGCTATTACAGGATGTCTGTTTCTAACTCCTCAGGGATTAACTCCTCATCTTCCAATTCAGGGGGCAAGGGAAAAGCTCCTATCAACTTCTCCTGCAAGGGAGGAGTAGAGGGAGAAATTCCAACAGCCGGGGGAGAGTCTTTATCTGCTGTGGGAAGAATCCTCTCCCGCTTATGAGGAAAATCCAAAACATCTCTAATTAAAGTCCATAAACTAAAAGCATCCACGGGCACTTTTTTCCAGATCATGGACATCATAATAATCTTGGAGCCTTTGCCCCACCTTTTCCCAGGTATCTATGTGAACTGTGCCTTCTTCAGGAAACCAGGGACAAACTTTTTCAATAAATTCTAAAAACTTTGAAAGCTGCTGCTGCCCTACTCGCAAGCCTCCTGCACTTAGCATTTCTTTAAGCATACGTACCAAAAGCTGGCAGCTATTACCCTGACCCATAATTACTCCCGTAATGTACTCACCGCAACACTTTCACTTTTAAGACTAATGCATTCTCTGGTTACTCTTTGCGGTGTCCTTCACCAGCATCCCAAGTACTCAGGTCCCTGTTCGGGCACCACTCTGTCAGATCTGCTGACTGTGAACAGTTCCTGAGTTGAGGGGCGAGGATTAAAGAAAAACAAAAAGCCAGGATAGCAGGAGGACTGCTGGTCAATACTGGTCAACTGTGAATGTACTTTATTGCTAGTATTTATATACGCTCCAGAGGCTTCTGCGATGTAAGGTTTTAAGTCCTTACAGAGTTTATCAGGTTGTTATAACAATACTTTGGAACATTCAGTTCAAAACAATCCTAAGACATTCTGCTCATAGCAATCCTGCCACCCAAGGCCATGTCTGGATAAAGATCCTGGTCTTATTCTGGTGGTCACATCCTGCACATTCTTCACATCTCCCCTTTGGCTCCCCACATGTGCCCAAGATCCCTAGAGTAGAATGGAGAAGAAGGGATTGTGGTGTGGCCAACCACCCTAGGGGGTGATTTCTCACTTTCTGTCTCTCTGGCAAGCACACACACCCTATAGCAAAAACCTCTCCAAAAAAAAAACAAAACCCAAAAAACAAAAAAAGAAAAAATGTAATAAAATATAGTTGATTTTGAGGGTAGGGGAGAACTAGTTATTCAAAATATGTAGAAAAAAATCATAGAATAAATTAGTAATAGATTCAACTTTATCAAAGAAAAACAGGCAAAGCAAATAATTCTAGCCCCTAGAATTGTTATTTTCTTTTTAAAAAAGAATGATTTAATTTTATTTATCAGTATTATTAGTTTTTTAATTTGCTACAGGGCATGTGCGCTGGCCAGAGAAAGCAAGAATGTGAGAAAGCAAGCTGCCAGGTCTGGGACTTGAACCACAGTCAGCCATGTGAGAGTCCAGCACCTCAACTACTATGTAACCTGCTGGCCCCTAGAATTGTTATTTTCAGTCATTTATGGGTAAATGGTCATATATGTCCACAAATATTTAACTATATATGAGATTACTGTGGTATTATTTATAATAGTGAAAGAATGTTAGCAAATTAAAAATCCTGCCATAAAGAATTAAATTATAGAGGATCAGCAGGTGGCGCGGTGGTTAAAGCACTGGACACTTTTACATGGCCAACCATGGTCCGAGTCCTGGACATGGTGGCTTGCAGTTTGCTTTCTCACTTTCATCTCTCTCTGTGTGTCTCTCTCTGGTCAAATTAAAATAAATGAACAAATAAATAAAATTAAATAATTCTTTTTAAAAAGAACTAAATTATAATATATTCCTTTAAAAATATTTATTCATTTAATTGTAGTTATTGTTATTATTAATTTTTTTAAGTTTGATCACAGAGGAACAGAGAGAGGGAAAATGAGAAAGAAGCCACTAGGTCCGGGACTTGAACCAGTTGGCCATGTGGGAGTCCAGTGCCTCAATCACCATGCCACCTGCAGGCCCCTATAATACTTTCTTGAAATGAAGTATTGTTTGCTTTGAAATGGTTATATAGAATAGTTAATCATCTGAATATGATATTATGGGTGGTTTTTATTTCCTTTTATGTATCTGATTTTCACATTTCCTATAGTGAAAACACCTTAATAAAGAAAAAGACAATATGAGGTATTTTCCAAATTAAGAAAATGGAACAGATTGTATTTCTATGGGTACTGACTAAAATAAAAGTTCTCATAAAAGCCTGAAGACATGTGTCCCTCTGTGTCACTCATACTCCTCAGCATTTAGTTCCATCAGCTCGTCAATCAGATGTTAATGGAAGTGAAATAGTTTTCAAACCTGTTTATAACTTCAGAACTCTAAGTTACTCTCTATGTTAAAATGAGCGTGCAGTTTCTCTGGTTTTGAACCTACCAGCTGATAGACTGCCTCTGGGGGTCCCCAAGAATGGTTTGGTATAATTAGTCACATTTTGGCTGCTTTTGAAATAATGAGTTACTGTCTTACACCCAGGGCTTTTCATTCAGGATGCTGCTGCTGCTGCAGAAAACAGGAGACAGTGGGATGCCAGAGTGCCTCAGACTCTGCTGCAAATGATGGCCACAGCCGACGTCTCCTCCACCTGCTCCCCGGTGCCTGACGGTGGGTCTGCGATCGGTTAGCATCAGCTGCCAGTGAGGGAAGACCGGGGCCCCAGTACAGCTGTGTTGCTAACACTCCTGATGTGGTAGTTCCCACTTCTCAATACAATCCCTAGAAATTTTGTATCAAACACGTTTCAAAGATTCAGAGACTTGTCTGCTAATTATCCTAGCCAGTTGAACACCTTGGCCATGCAAATGTAGAGGAGGAAAATTCTAGGATGCCACCTTTCTTTGGTGAGGGAGGATGGACAAGGCAGTTGACTTGATTTACTTCCAGTGCCGGTCCAATAACTCCCTAGCAATTTTACAGAGTCCTTTTCCTTTTCTTTTCTTCTTCTTTTTTTTTTTTTTTTTTTATTTTGAGAGGTTTTTGCTATAGGGCGTGTGTGCTCGCCGGACAGACAGAGAGAGACAGAGAGACAGAAAGCGAGAAATCACCCCCCAGGGGGGATGGTCATGCCGCAGTCCCTTCTTCTCCATTCTCCTCTCGGGATCTTGGGCACGCACGCACACGTGCCCGGCGTAAGCTTTTTAAGCCACCGAGTCCGGGACGCAAACCGCAGTTGACTACGTGGGAGTCCAGTGACATAGCCATTACGCTAACTGCTGGTCCCCTAGAGTCCTTTTTCTCATGAATAGAATTGGAATAAAAAGACTAGCTATTCCACATCAGCCAGGTGACATGGAGGTTAAATGGCTAGATCCCACATGGCTTAGTTAACGGTTCAAAGCCCAGAGCCGGCAGCTAAAAAAACACCGGGCATGTGTATGTGCATTGAGTGCTCAAAATCCTGACAGAATGGAAGAGAAGGTATTGAGGTGTGGTCATCCCTCCCTAGGGGGTGCTTTCCCTCTCTTTTCTCTCTCTCTCTCTCTGGTGAATGCATGCAGCCTATAACAAATTGAAAAAAAAAAAAGAACAAAAAAAGACTATCCCTGAGACATATAGAGAGCTAATAATGCAAAGATACACATACAATTGTTTTGTAAGCCAATGTGCCATTTGAATGTATGGAGAGGTTAAGAGACAATATTTTCAACCCAAATTTCTTCATTTATATTTAAGCTCTGACAGCCTTTCATCAAAAGAGATTCATAGTTGAGCCAGCTCCATAGCCTAGTGGTTAAGGGAGCTGGATCCCACATGGCAGACAGTGGTTCAAATCCCAGCCCCAGCAGCTTGAAAAGCGTACCGGGAAGTGTGCATATGTGCCCAAATCCCAACAGGATGGAGGAATGGAGAAGGGATTGTGGTATGGCCATGCCCCACTGAGGGGTGCTTTCTCTGTCTGTCTCTGGCAATTGTACATGTCCTTTGGTATTACAAAAGAAAAAAGGAAGAGGTTCTTAGCAACTTTCAGTCTATGGGTGATACCTTCACAGGTGGCAAAGATTTTTATTACTTACTTCCAATGTTCCTCTTAATAACCTAAGACTGAGAGAGAGCTAAGATTTATACCTGTGTTGTAAGTTGAAATAATTACGTATGCTACTGAAGTTAGCAATGATAAGGGTGTGAATTGACTTATAATCCAATAAGACAATTGAGAGGAAACCCAACTTCCCATATGAAAATAGAACACCAAAACAACAACAACAAAAAACAGTTTACAAAGTAAAGAAACGACTCTTCGACCCAACAGCTATGTGACAATAAGTCACTAAAGTTTCTATATCTTGTTTTCTGAATTAATAAATTGAGGATTACATTAGGTTACTCCCTGTGATTTTATCAAAACTCAAATGATGAAGCTTTTTGTTTGTTAGGTTTTTGTCATAGGGCGCATGCACTCAACAGAGAGAGACAGAGAGAAGCAAAGTGAGAAATCACCCCCTAAGGGGGATGGCCATGCCATAATCCCCTCTCCTCCAGTCTCCTCTCAGAATTTTGGGAACACATACACATGTACCCAGCGTGATTTTCAAGCTGCCGGTCCCAGTACTCGAACTACAGTTGGCCATATGGGAGTCAAGTGCCTTAGCCACCGTGCCACCTGCTGGTCCCTGCATTATTGTTCTGACAACAGTTTCCTCTGTGTTATCAGATGGCCAAGTTATCGTGATTGGAAGTGTTAGAGAAAATAGGAAACAGTGGCAACATGAAGCACCGGGAGCTTTCATGAGTGTCTTGGCAGCAGCACATCTAACAAGCAGCTCATTTTCTGCCAGCGAAGGAGAATTTGGTATGTAGTTTATTTTTAACAACATAATCCTCAGGGGAATTTTGTCAGAGATTTGTGAATGTAGAAAGCGGATAAAAATATCTTCAGCCTGGAGAGAAATGAGAGGGTGCCTAACCTTTTCAGAAGCTGATCTGCTTTAACCAAGTCTGTTCCAAATTAACAAAAGACATGAATTTCTAAGGCGAGTGGCGTAATTTTCTTGATGCAATCAGCTGACAGCTGGTGACAAGTTAAGTAAGACTAATGGTTTTGAAGATGATGATCTAGTTATTCCTGAGCGCTACCTGAGAGAGTCCTTTATTTCTGACAGCTATTCAGTGGACTCAAGTTACTATCCAATGGACAATAAAAATACATCTTAATACAGTTTGAACTTTTCCCCCCCTTTGTCTCCAATTTCATCAAGATTCAGCTTTTGTTTATCTTAAAGAAAGCCAGTCATGATTTTCTAAAATTTGAGGGACTTCATAGCACAGTGGGAAATGATCAGGTATCAGGCATGCAGGTGTGATGTGCTAGGAGAACAGCTACTGCGGGCACTCAAACAGTGAACACCTGGCAGGTGCGAGGTGTGCCACTCGTGTTGCAGAGATATCAGGTTGAGGTGACAAGGAGATAAACTAATAAACTAGACAGTCATAAAGGCTAATAAATGCTCACCAAATTAAATACCACTACGAAAACATATACATTAAGAATGATGCAAGACGGGCCAGCAGGTGGTGTGGTAAAGGTGCTGGACTCCCACATGGCTGACCGCGGTTTGAGTACCGGACGTTAGTGGCTTGCTTTCTCACTTTCCGTCTCTCTCTGTCTCTCTGTATGTGTGTCTGTGTGTCTGTTTGTCTCTCTCTATTGGCCCACATGCCCTGTAGCAAATTAAAAAATAATAATAATGATAAATTAAAAAGTTAAATAAATAATTATTTTTTAAAAATGATGCAAGAGAGGTACCAGACTTATTTCAGGAAAGTGGGTCTGCCAGTTTGTAAAAACCGAGAGGAGAGGATTCTTTGTGAAATATGAGCTTTCTGATTGAGTCTTAAAGAATGTATAGGGGTCCATCAGGTGGCAGGGTGAATGTGCTGGAGTCCCACATGTCCAACTGTAGTTTGAGTCCTGGGTCTGGTAGCTTGCTTTCTTACTTTCCCTCTCTCTCTCTGGTCAAATAATAATAAAAAAAGATGATGATGACAAATAAAGTTAAATAAAATAATTCTTAAAAGAATGTATAGGTTTTTTAAAAAGAATTATTTATTATTATTAGTAGTAGTAGTAGTAGTATTTTCCCATTTGACCAGAGAGAGCAAGAAAGGGAAAGTATAAAAGCAAGCCACCAGGTCCAGGACTTGAACTGCAGTTGGCCATGTGGGAGTCCAGCACCCCAACCACCACATCACCTGTTGGCTCCCACGTTTTGTTGATACAAGAACATTTTAAGTAGAAAAGATTGTGTAAAGGATGGACTTGCACATATATAGACTGGTTGTGGAGACTGACAAAGCTGGTTTGACTAAAATCTAGGAGCAGTAAAATGGGCTAGAGTCCCTGAGTATGTGAAATCTTTTGGTATTGTTGTTGATCTCAATCGACACACTTAGTTTAAAATATACCAGGGGAGAGAGAGATTGAGACAGGCTGTCTTGGAGCCTCTTTCCAGCACATTATTTATTTTTTTTAAAGAGTTACTTTATTAATTAATTAATTTATTTATTTTAATTTGACTAGAGAAGGAGAGAGAGAGAGAGAGAGAGAGAGAGAGAGAGAGAGAGAGAGAGCCGCCAGTTCTCGCAAATAGCGGTTGGCCATGTGGGAGTTCAGCACCCTTAACCACCACGCCACCGGCTGGCTCCTCCAGTACATTCTAACCATAGCAGTGTAATTGTTGGTCCCTTCTAACTCAGGGTATGGTGGGAGTGGGGCTTGGTAGAGGAAATTTTTCTACCTGGTGTGGCCTATAAAACAAGGGTTGGGGCCCCAGACCAGGTAGAAGGGATCACACCCATCTTTTACAAGTTGATGTGACAAACTTGGTGACTAGAATGTGTCTTCTAGTGATTCTTGGGAAAGAGGTCATATAGGGCTAGCCCTCATGTTTAGTGGGTAAGAGATTTCACATGACTAAATGCAATTCAAATCCCAGCCCTGGCAGCTTGAACTCTAAGCACCTGAGAGATCAGATGGCCCCTCCTAGCAAATATTCCTTCCTTGCTTTAAAATGTACACTCTCCCGGGAACCAGCAGTTAGTGTAGTGGCTATGTCGCTGGACTCCCACATAGTCGACCGCAGTTCACGTCCTGGACCCGGTGGCTTAAAACTCATGCCAGGCACGTGTGCGTGTGTGCCCAAGATCCTGAGAAGAGAATGGAGGAGAAGGGATTGTGGTGTGGCCATCCCCCCTGGGGGGTGATTTCTTGCTTTCTGTCTCTATGTCTCTCTCTGTCTGGTGAGCGCACGTGCCCTATAGCGAAAACCTCTCCAAAAAAAAAAAAAGTACACTCTCCCCTCCCTAAGATTTTACTTGGATATACTTGTATTGTTATATTTTCTCCCTGTTTTTTTCCCTATCCTACCAGACACAGCTTTGCAAGCGTCTGGATTAAAATAAATTCTGAATAGGTTGTTTTTGAGTGAATAAATCAGTGCAAGAGCCTATAATTTAATATGCTATTTAATTTTAAAAGATTCTAATAAGTTTTTTGTAAGTTTTGAAATTTGTCTTCCATCTCCCTGACTTTTGCCTCTTAGCTGCTTTGGATAGTTTCACATTCACTTAGTCTCAAATGAATTCACATTCATTTTAGTCACTCAAATTTATTCACACTCAAATATTTGTCAAATTAATGAAATACTGACATTCTGTTATTATAGATATTATTTAAATGCAGGTTCTATTAAGATGCTGTAATGAGGCCAGAAGTGGCGTGGTGGTTAAGGTGTTGGATTCCTACATGGTCCAATACAGTTTGAGTCCCAGACCCAGTGGCTTGAAAATCATGCTGGGTGTGTGTGCATGCATGCCCAAAATACCCAGAGGGAAAGGGATTCTCTCAGGCAAGCATGCTCACCCTATGGCAAACACCTAAAAAAGAAAATAAATAAATAAGATGCAAAGATATGGAGAGAACCTGAATTCATGAATAACTCAGAGCTGATAGCTACCTGAGGTTTCTGCCCTCTGGCAAACTTACTGCCCCTCCCTGGAGCTATAGGGTAACCTGAAACCTTGAATAGGCTAGACTTCCTGCTTCTCTGCCACCTCCATTTTAGGGCAGGTTCTGAGCCCCTTCCCCATTCCTAACATCCTGAGACCTATCTCCCCAATTCCCCCATAAAAGACCGTGTCCAACCCCCAGTTGGGGGCAGAGATTCAGTGATAGCTCCTCCATGCCCACTGGCATGATAAAGAGTTCTCCTGTCTCTTTTGAGTGCCATTTCCAATCCTTGGGGTCTGTTTCTCTGCAATAGCAATTGTGCCTTTATTGTGAATTTTGAGGTATTGCTCTGAAAATTCTGGATCTGAATTAAACTACTGCCTGTGTACCACTGATCAATAATCACTGTTTTAAGTACTTGAGAGAAAATATATGAACATGTTCCCCCATTATTTCCCTAGGTCTGGTTACCCTGCTAATATCCTCACATGACTCTGTAATTCTCTAATCAAAATCTTATGCTTCGGGCCAGCTCATGGTGTGGTGATTAAGGCA